AAATTGAAATTGTTGTCTTGGCTTATTGTTTTCAGGTGCTTCCTGGGCATTAAACCTGAGATGGGCTCGAAAGCCAAAAAGAGGCATGGCAATTTAAACCCCCATGTCAGCACATTCTTCAGAAAACGTGTTGACTTTGAGTGGATGTCTGTTTAGACATGTGTTAAGTGCTCCCCTCCTTGTTTTCTGTCTCCCTGGCTCCGCCTCTGCCCAGGTGCACCTGGTCTGCCCCTGGCTCCGCCTCTGCCCAGGTGCACCTGGTCTGCCCCTGGCTCCGCCTCTTTCCAGGTTGTTCCAAATTCCACTCATGTCTATATATAAAGAGAAGCTGGAGGAGAAGGATGTCTCGCCTATCCTAATGCTGGAGACACTGTCCTTAGAATACCTCTTTGCCATTTTGAGCTGTAGGCCATATTTTTGCAGATGTGTTTATGTTTAGCCTGGAAGACCTTGTAGTCCAGTTTTCGCGACTTTTATTTTGTGTCCCACAGGGTTTATATTTGATTTCTGGTTAGGCGGGGAGCTCTGGGTCCTACGGCCCGTGGTGTGGCTGGCTCAGGTTCCCTCCTTCTGTTTGTTCCTTTTGGCCACTCCTCCAGACCTCTTATTGTTTCCTGTTTCGCTTGCGTGAGCAAACGGCTGATTGTCAATAAATGCTCGTTACCAAGTACCGGTTATTGCGTGTATTCTTTCATGTTGCGGGTCTCAGCACGAACCACTATACCGCGGAGTAGAGGTTGGGGGCCGTAACAACATTTCCACTGTGAAATGTACTTTGCACTTCAATGGAGTAATACAAAGTTTAAATGGGCATTTTCTTTGTTTTTCTTTGTTGATTGAGCTGATTGAATTGTGTAGTTATGGTACAATCCCAGTCAAATTTACAATATATTATCGTATTATTTAGATTTGTATATTTACAGTAAATTACTGGCTACTGTGTTGCATTACTTCTACAGTAATAGTGTGAACATACAGGTAATTACTGTAATTTATGTACAGCAAGGTACCATAATACCACAGTAATTCCATGGGCATGGCAACTGTAAAGTCACAGTATTTAGTTGTACTTTTATTCTAATTAACTGTAAAATATATACAGTAAATTACTGTGAAATATTTACAGTCAATTACTGTGAAATATTTACAGTAAATTACTGTGAAATCCATGCAACTAGTAGCCAGTAATTTACTGTAATTATACAGCCAAACATTTTACAGTGTACTTTAACAACACTTTCCTAATTATACTAGCATACTTATACTAAAGTAACATTAACATGTTTAAATGCAGGGATTCTTTGTAAGAGAGTATTTGTATAGTGTATCATGGTCTACTTGACTTATTTAACCAGTTTAGCCCTGAGTCTGTTTTTCAGGTCTCAGGCTCGAAAATGACATTCACAGAACAAATGACCATATCTTCACTTCTAAAAGGGTTACATTAATAATCTTTTTTTTCAAAGTAATGATAAAGCTGTGAGTTGGATGTAGAAGAGTCAGAATCATATAGATGTTTTTTATTTTAAAGAAAATTCAGATTGTAAAAAACTGTAAATTATAGTGTCCGTCCAAAAATTATTTTTTACTTATAGTGAAAACTACCCTTGGATGATGGTAAGGTAGACTAAAAGCTTTAGGAATCCAAAGTACAACATATAATAAGTACCCTGTATCAAGATTGAGGCAAAACAAGTGACATTTGACCTTTTTAGAGAGGTTTAGCAAAAAAACTCCACCTCTGGGGTGATTTGGGTGGAATTGGGGGTTTTACCGTTTCTCTGGAACCCATTGGTCGATTTTGGTGATTGACATCTCTTTCTGACCGTTAGAGCCAATATAATCGAAGGCGAATCTCCCCACTCACACACAGTCTAAAACAAAAAGGTGTGGGCTTCGCACACACAGTTTTGCACCAGAGTGAAGCTGTCTCTAGGTCTGACTTCTAGAAACGGAAACGCAGGTTTATTGCTTATGGATGATCAGAAATCATTTCAAAGGGACACAGACACATTGGATTAACCTATGGATTAACTTCAGCAGCGTTTTTATCATTTTAATGCCATTGAAGACCACTTTTGTCCAGGCTACGACACAGGTGAGCCATGTTAGCGATTTTAGCTACATAGCGCCATATATTTTGATGTCTGTTCTTGTTATTATCTCCGCGAGTTCGTATAATTGAGTGATAATGAGGGTACCCATCGATTCTGTGTCCCCTCACGATGTGAAACGATGGGTTGGATGTGGAGCAAAGATAAATAATAAGGTTTTGTGAGTGAATTTCGGTGCAATCATCTGTTAGCATTTTTAGCTCATTGCTAATTCAGAGGCTCAGCGTTAGCATTGTGTTTGTTTGTTTTTTTAATTCAAATGATCAGTTAGATGAATTTGTTCCCGTTACATGGATATAAAATATTCATAGTTTATTAAATGAACATGCCCTCAGACACTGTTTCCTGAAAGATGTTGCGGCAGTGCCCCGGTACCGGGGTCTCTCGGGCTTAACAGGTTCCCGAAGTTATCGTAACGTTACTTTGCAAACCCCCCCCCCCCCCCACATGCAAAACAATTCAGATACATGATGAGTAATTATTTTCAATGCTATAAATTCGGTGTCAAATAAAATTCAAATACTTCTGTCTCTTGTTTGCTTCCATAAATGATACATTAATTTAACCAAAACACCGTATAGACTGAGGAGTGACTCTCGTGAGTTTCATGTATTTTCTTCACTCCACTGGGAAACTGCTCTCATGTCAAGAAGCATCAGATCAGTGCATGCGCTGCATCGTCCAATCAGTGAGCGATACACAGTAAGGGGGCGGAGCGAGTATCTGAGGATTTCATCGCAGGATGGTCTGGTGGTTCCTCGGTTATCGCTCCTCCATTATCGCTCCTCCATTATCGGTCCTCCGGCCATGGGACGCTACTCAAGACGGAGACGGCTTATGGTAGAGAAATGAACATTCAATTCACGGGCAACAGCTCTGGTGGACATTCCTGCTGTCAGCATGCCAATTGCACGCTCCCTCAAAACTTGCGACATCTGTGGCATTGTGCTGTGTGATAAAACTGAACATTTCAGAGTGGCCTTTTATTGTGGCCAGCCTAAGGCACATCTGTGCAATAATCATGCTGTCTAATCAGCATCTTGATATGCCACACCTGGTGGGATGGATTATCTCGGCAAAGGAGAAGTGCTCACTATCACAGATTTTTGCAGATTTGTGAACAATATTTGAGATAAATGGTTATTTTGTGTATAAAGAAAAGGTTTTAGATCTTTGAGTTCATCTCATGAAAAATGGGAGCAAAAACAAAAGTGTTGCATTTATATTTTTGTTCAGTGTACAAACCCAGAAAAAAATCCCTTTAACTTTAACCATCCCTTTAAATTAAACTATTTGAATCTATGAGTCTTGTACAGATTTTCAACTATGAGATCAAATATTTCCCTTAACTCTTAAACAAGGAAAAGGAAAAATGTTTGATGGGGGTCAGTCTGAGATTCTTACAGGTCAATGGTAGAGTTTTAGGAGCTTGGAAAGCAGTAGCCTGCTGACACACCCTGACAGAGGGACAGATGGTTCACTCAGCCGAGCCCCATAAGTACCAAAGCACATCACGGAGGGGTCTCCCAAGGACTCTGTGGGGGACCAGAGTTCCCACTAAAGCTTTAAAGTGCTAAAACCAATAGTACATCTTATATCTCATTCACATCAGTATTGTAGTAAGTACTGTTCTTAAATCAAATCTTAAGCCACTACAATAAAAGTACCCCAAAGTAGGTAAAACTGCCCATCCTGAGCAGCTACAGGATTACAGTACAGATTAATGTAAATTAGTCAATGTAATTGCCATTACTCCAGTATTTATACATGTTTTACATATTGGGGAGCTGGGTCATTTTTTTTATAGGGTGCCATTTGGACTTCACAAGTTGGGTGAAATAAATAGTTGATTTACCTACTTTTTAATGTTCTATTCTATAAAGGACATATCTAATTTGCTAAAAAACATTTTGGTCAAGCTCAGGCACCTAAATCTTTATATATATATAGATATTAACAACACGTGACACCCGGGATATGTCCACCCTGTTAAGGACATACACATAACTGCTTAAATGAGTTTTCAGTGCATTCTTACAATTAAAGTGACTTTTTAACAAGAGTTGTATGTCCCTAACTCTAATTAGATATATATTTCATACCTAATTAGTTTTAAGTAGTATATATTGAGAAAAACAAGTGTAGATTATGACAACGTGGCATATTTTTCCACAGTTTTTCGTGAGAAAACTTAAATACAATAAGAATTACTAAAAGTTTCTAGAATATATAATCAACCTCTCTCATTTCTTTATAAAAGTACAAATATACACTTGATATTTGATATTTTCATTAAACTATGCTAGAAAAATACCAACATAACAGGGTGGACATACGTCTAACAGGGTGGACACCAGTGGAAGTCCGTCAGGGCCTTCAGGACCTTCTCTCCAGGCCCTATCATTTTAAAGTGTAATTTTTGGTTAAAATATTACAGTATTAATTCTATTGTTAAAACAATCTTTTATATTAAATTATTAAAATTGTTTGAATATATCAAATCGTTTTGGTTTGATATACCCACTATTTGGAGCTGGAGCTGCAACTTTGTGTATCTGCCTTTGCTTCTTCATAAGGCTATCTCCGTCCCAAAGGTCTGCTGTGTCTGTGGTTGCAGGGTTTTGTTATAGAATGTGTACTTTAGAGTAGCAACAAATATTAACAGAATAAAAAAAAAATATCAGAATTTGATTTGGGGTCTTTGGTACGCCCCTAGGACCTGTGAGCAAGTCTGTGTGATGTTATAATATTTTCCAGCTGTGGGGCACGTAGGCTATTGCCCTACGTTGGAGACTGAGGAAAATGGCAGCTAATGAAGAAGACAGTAATTTGCTTCATAATTCATTTATTCAGCAGAATTTCTAATAAAAAAAATCACAGAAAAAGAAAGGCCAACACCAAAACTTGGAGGGCTCAAACAGGTAGGCAAAGGCTTTATGAGGCACTTTGCTGAGGCCAACTATAATCATGCTCGTTTTTTGCCACCACCAGTGGCTTGTGGAACACCACTGGGTTTGGTAGCCTGAACACCTTAACCAAGAGCTCTGATCATCGTGCATAACTTCGAGTACATTTTTAGTTTACATAAAGTTATTTTCTAGGTACTTCCATGTAAGCTTCTCAAGTTGGACTGAGCGCTTGTTGAGTGCCTTTGGCTCTGGTATAAGACAGAGAAGTTGTTCCTCTGCATACCAGCTGACATCTTCACGTGGTCTTGGCCAGAAGTATTTGTTTACTCCATTTCTATGCATGCACTTCACTTGAATGCTATCGCCCTCCACGTCCATGATGATGCCAGGGTACACATCATCGTCATACTTAATGACGCACCACCCTCCAATGTGTGTGCTGTCAACTGCCGCTGGTCGCCATGGGTTCTCTTCATTCTGATTTGGGGGGGTCACAGGAACTCCATTCACAGTAGCTACTTTCAGGTCGAAGCAGGCACAATCCAGTGGACCATCCTGCCTCTGACAGAAACAACTGATGTCCCTGTACTTGATATGCCCAGGTAAGACGCTGATCACCTGGTGCATCCTCATTGTGCCCTTAATAGGTGTCAGAGCAGGGACCTGAGGTGAAAAGAGAGGATATACAGTAGTATGAGATATAATATTCAAAATATTTGGCCAATAACAATAACTATCAACGTATAGAGAGCCTCAAAATACTTGACTACTGTGAATGTTTTTGCAGGGGTGCGGGGCATCTTTACCTCTGTTTTTGCTTCAACTTCCTCTTCACTGACAAAGAAGAGCTCCACTGTTGATTCCAGTCTCTTGAGTTTTTTGAAAAGAGTGATGGCATCTGGAACATCTTCCCCCAAGCGCACAATTCGGTCCGCTGACCGCTTCAATGTCCCTCCGATGCCATCTGGAGCTCCTTTGCCATGGCTGGCCTCAAAGAAATTCCAGGTCAGTTCTTTGAAACCAAGCCTGAATGGCTCAGTGGAGAGAAAATAAAAGTTTCCCTTTTGCTTGTACTGGGTTGCTGGGCCATCACTGTAGAAATGAAGCCTTTCCACCTTTGGACACTTGGTCTTCACCATCTCCAGGACAGGCTCCAGGTGAGCCCAGATCGCTGGTGGGTCATGTCGTCGTGAGGATGAAATTGAACAGAATGACAGTGGTGTCTGTTCAGTGGTGTACAGTACACCAGTGTGCAGCGTTGCCTGTTGATGGGACCCTCCAAAATGCACAGACTAGATCTCGTTGTGATATTTGCAAGAGTAATTTTCGCTGAAATCGATGTGGATTAAGCACTCGTTGGCTTGGAGGCTTTCCCGTAGCTGTCTGTAAGCACTGTATTGCCACCTGATGTTAAAAAGGTGCTTACGGAATTTGAATAGATTCTCTTGAAATTTGCTAACCAGGTCTGATTCAGTGCTCTGGACCTCTTTTTTAAGCGTAATGGTCTTCCTCTCTTCCTCACCTGTCCTTTCAGTAGACCATTGTACAACTTGTACAATTTCCTCTGTGGCTGATTTCAGGGTTGGGTGAGTGGTGAGGCGGCACTCTACACAATCACCATAGGCGCAAGCTTTCATTTCTGTGGCACAGACAGTGCGGTCAACCATCTCCTCAATATTCTTGGAGACGACAATCCCATGGCTGTAGAGGGTGTCAGCCATGAACTGGAGGTTTTCATGGGTTTTACACTGGCACGTGGCCCGATCAGCATCAGTAGGGGCCACGACCCAAAATGGCCGACATGCACAAAAAAGACAGTATGACACGTTGTCTGAGTTTCCGGATCCAAATTTCCTGTGAAGGTTCTTGAGTGTGTCAGAAAGCAGTCGCTTCTGCATCTTCTTCTTCCTCACTGTGATGGTCTGCTTGCGCCCAGTTGTCATACGACTCACGTCATCACGAAGAAAGAAGGTATGGATACTGGCTTTACTTTCTAGACTCCTTGAACTCTTCTTCCTCTGAAAAGTATTAAGGTCTGCATCCCTGTCCAACATCCCCCTCTTCTTGGAGAATCCAAGAGCCCTGAATGCAAATGACTGCAGTCTGTACTTTTTTAATAGCCTACCACATGCCACTTTGGCTATTGTTTGCTTCACCCTTTCTCTTCTTGAGGCTTTGTATGTTTGAGCTATGTCCGCAACTAGGGCAGACTGAAAAATAAGGCTCTTACGAACATGTGGAGAAACCCTCTGATCATGTAGCATCCTATTCACCAATGCACGTGGGGATGAGGAGCTTTTCTTACACCGTAAAAATCTTTTTTTATACTTTTCTTTCTTTCTTATCTCTCTATCCAGCTTGGCCTTTAAAAAGGCTAGCTCCTGTTGGAGTCTTCTCCTTCCATTTCTTGCCCTCTTTTCCCCTTGAAGGCGCTGCCTAAACACAAACACACACACAGCAAAAGCAAACATAATAAGTCCTTATAAACAGCTCAAAAAGTGTTAAAAACTGTGTATTGTGTTCCATATGCTGAGTACATTTCCTATAAACTTGCACTAACCTTGAAGGCCCTGGTTCTGGTTCTGACTGACTCTCTGGAGTTGCAGGGGGAGTGCTGAGGGAATCCCTGGCTCTGGAAACGTTGGCCCTCGCGGCTTTCTTTGCCTCCCTCCATTTCTTCCTTTTTGCCCTTTTCTCCCTCTCACAGACCTCATTAATACCCATCTTTATGCCTTTCTCTCTGTCCCTCCTCAATTTCTCTCTCTCTTTTTCAAGGTATTGCTGTCTTCTCTCTGGGTCAGCATCACGGCGTGCTCTGTAGTACCGCTGTGATTCAGCTGCACTTATCGGGGGTGCCATTCCTATACAAATGCATGCCATTACTTTAAGTACTATACCTATAATCCTTGTGTACATAATATACTAGATAATATACCCATCAGTGTTTCCCTAGGATTTTTTGCAGCAGTTTGTGTTGTGCCTATAGATCTAATGGTGGTGATCATTTATTATATTATAAAAACATTATTATAATGTTATAATAGTAATATAATAATATAACAATAAATAATATAATATTAATATAATATTAACAAATGTTGTAATAAGTAAACAATACTTACATGTCCACCCTGTTAGGATGTTGTCCACCCTGTTAGTTGAATAAGCCTAACAGGGTGGACACTAACAGGGTGGACATTTTGAGCAAAAGTTAGCCTTTACCCTGCCTGTGTTAGCATATTTGCTAGCATGACCTTGGATACTTTATGAGGAATCAATCACTTTTTAAAGGAACTTTTTAAAATAATAGAATTCGATTAATATCCTTCATACTTAGGCCTAACAGGTTGGACATGTTATGTTCAAACACATCAAACAAAATTGACAGAAACATCCAAATCAGTTGTAAGAGCAGTAGAAACCCACACAGCTTACCTCAGTTGAATTTCCCGCCTCTGGTGTCATTTAATTTCATAGGTGTGATGTCACTGTGAAATATGTATTTTTCTTAAAGGGACAGATACACAGCTCAACAGGGTGGACAGCGACCCTCGGGGACAAACATTAAACCTTTTTTTTTTTTTTTTTACAATTTCAATAAAAACATTATTTGATTAGATAGATTTTGACAAGTTAAATAAAATAATAATAACATATTTATAAATTAATTTTGTTTTTAATAGCTATGTTTTAGATCTAAGTTGAATGACCAGCAGTGGGGACATGGAAAAACTCCTCGATATCCCTTTAACCAATGCTTTTCAAATGAAAAAAAAAACTTAGATGTGCATATCATTGTATTAATAATAAATTAACAATTGAACACACATTAAAAACAAAATGTAATTAGTATTTGTCCAGATTTAGACAAAAAACAACATATTTTGTACTGGGGACACCAAAGGCACCACATAAAAAAAATGACCCGGCTACTGTAAGGTCAGCAGTAGGGGTGTAACGGTACACGTACCCGTACCGAAGTGTACCGAACGAATATAATGTTAAACGTAAAAAATTGAGAACGTGAACAACTTTTTGGAAGTAATCTCAGGTGCTGCGTCGCAGCATTCAGAGTAATTTTCTCACATTGGGTTCAACGCGTCCAGAGCCCTAGAGAGATAAGAGTTACGACCAGGGGCGTCGCCTGGACTAGGAAACATTCGGGGCTTAGCCCCCAGGGGCGGCGCTACAGTCAAATTTTCTACTGCAAGACTCCCCACACGCACATACACAATTGCGCCATCTGGTGTCACAAACGTGCGCCTGCATTAGCTTTCTTACAGCAATGGATTGTGGGAGATTCTCATAGCACGTGAGGATCTCTTGAGGGTAAGGTGCCTGTATTATCTCGGTGGACAAAATGTATGTTTTTATTTTATAAAGGACAATAACGTACTGTTGTGTTTGTTTAGTTTAATGTTAATTGTTTAATGCTCACAGTCACAGCAACATGTTTTTTGTGTGATTGGCTATTTGTTTTATATGATTTATCAACGTGATCATCAATATCTAATCTGAGCACCAGAACCCAGCTCACGTGTCCTTTTATGCTGTCCATTGAAATGCAGGTATGCGAGTTTTATACACCAGTTTATTTATGTTTAATGTTTCACATTGCTCCACATGATGCCTTGACTACAAAGTATTCCATGTTTCTACGCTTCTTCCTCTGTGTCACAGTTTCGGGAATATCAAGATCATTGCACAGGGCCTTGGTCTTGTCATAGACCTCATGTGCTTTCTCGTTACTTCGGTAACTTTTCAGTGTGTTCTCAACTGCTGTTTTGTAATCTACTGCCTGCACCAAGTCAATTGTTTCTTTCTGCAGGTATTTGTGCAGGCCCTGAGTGGTTGAGAGCAGTGTCTGGAACATGACAGCATGTAGATGGTACTGCATTTTCAAAGCTTGCTTTCCAGTCCCTTTGCTAGAGGGGCTGAAAGGCTCCCTAAAGTCTTGATCAAAGCAGGGAGGTTTTTGACATGCCCAGCGAACAAGTTGTTTGTCCCCTACCTCTAGCTGTTTCTGAAATGTTTGCAATCTCTGATGGTGGACAAGAGATGTGGAGAAGAAAGAGTAGAGACACTCCAGGAGATCAACGCAGGTATGTGAGTTTTGTGCACCAGTTTGTATAAGTTTAATGTTTCACATTGCTTGTGAAAAATATACTACCACTATACGATCACTGATGTTTTGTTGTTGACTGGACACTTATTTTGTAAAAGAGATAGCATGAGAGGATCTCTTAAGCAATGCAGCTTACGTGTCCTTTTTATATGCTGTCCATTGAAATGCAGGAAAGTAATCACCAGCTCTGAGTGATCTGTTGCCGAGGGGACACTACACCGGAGTTACATAAGCAGAGATAAAGTGCTATTTTGGGGGGAACTCACCTCCTCTGGGGTCCCCCAGGAAGACTTTTTTTAAATACTGAAGTTAAAAGCATCAATCTTGTGCACTTTGAGAGCAACATTAAGAGATATGGATACATCTCTCAACACCCATATGTCAAAAAGAAATCAAAGAATCAGAATCAGAAACGGGTTTATTATTTAAAAACACTTCATTTTCCAATTAAATCATAAACTATGTCAATTTATTAGAAGTTGTTAGTAATCAGATTAAACAGAAAAAAGGGATGGAAGGAGGAAATAATAATCCCTCATCACTTGCTGCTTGTGGTTGAAATGATCTCTTTTGCTGGCCAAACATGCTGGATGGAAAGCAGTGATGTCTCACTTGCCTTGGCCCTGTATCTGCAGTCCCTAAATCAGTCATGTTACTCATTGACTCTTGTCTGTTCTGGTGTTCCTGTTCATTGTTGTCTCCATTGTCGTTCTTGTCTGTTGTATCTCCTTCTTGTGTGTCCCTTTCTCCTGTTCCCCTTTCTTCATCCTCTACTCTGTTTGGCTCATCTGTGATGACTGTGTAGGTAAACACAAACAAGTATGTATCAGTTTCCAGCTCTGTCAAATAAATGAATTTCAAGATACACACATTTGTCTTCATTAAAATGAGTGTCACCACACTGTCACAAAATGTAATACTAACCAATTGAAAATAGTTAAATTTACATTGGAAACCTCACTGTTAAGAGTAGTTGTCTGCCAATAGGACAGAATCATTCCTATACAAATGCAGTTTGAGTAATTCACTTAATATATTTACTTAAAACTTTAATATAGTCATTTTCACTTAATACTCTAATATAGTCATCTTTCTGCATTCAACACTAAGGAAAGCTGTACAATTTGACACGATAATGAGGAACATGCTATGCTCCTTTCAGGAGCCCCACTGGATTGGCTTTGATCTGAAATATTTGTATAAAAAGCTTGTTAGCTGGCTGTCCATCTCATAATGTTCACATATAAACTAGCTGTCAATAGGAAATATCAATCAGAAGAATTATATTTTCATGCAAAATCTGTCACAAAAAGAGGTTGCACATTTAAATGCAGGTGTTGTTATGGCAACGTCAGTGGCCAGACAGCCACATTTACTGCTGCAAATACGTTCAAACATGCTGTCGACACCTAAAGCAGTGGCAACTATGCCACCATTTCAGCTGACTTTTTCTCAGAAATACTGTCACATAACATCCATATACATTTCAGTGCTAGGTTGATGCTTAGCTAAGCTAACTATGAAACACTTTAACTGACAGGACTCAGGATAAACTGTACGGTAACTGTAAGGTAGCTTCTAGTTTCATGTCGAACACTGACAGTAAGTCAACATTTCCCAGAGAGCTTTCTTTGAAATCACCAAGTAACGCTAAAAAACACAACATTTATATTGTATGACAAAGTCTTTATTTAATATATCTGGCTAGCTATAGCTACTTGCTAACGGTTTAGCTTACCCGCGCGATTCAAAGTAACGTCAACGTAGCTATAATTTATGCTTTGCTTACATGTTCGCATAACTTGTAAGTTTACTGAC